CAGGCATTGGACCTGGATATGGACAGGCAGAAGCAGACTCACAGGCCTGAGTTCTTTTGTATCCAGTCGTTTGGAATTTATTTATTTATTATTATTTTTGTTTGTTTATTCCAGACAGAGCATCTCTGTGTAGCCCTGGCTGTCTTGGACTCACTTTATTAACCAGGCTTGCCTTGAACTCACAGAGATCTGCCTGCCTCTGCCTTCCTGAGTTCTTAGATTACAGGCATGTGCCACAGAGCTGGGCTGTAGTTTGGAATTTTAGGTAAACATTTCTTTGATCTGTTTTCATTGTTTTGTTGTTTTTATTTTGGTATGAGTTATTTCCCAAGTATTACACTGGAATAGTTTAGAAAATTGAAATCCGGTGTTTGACTGTACATTTGTCTGGAAGATCCTAAAATCAGAAAGGTTAGAAGATGTCAAGTTGCAAATCAGGAGGTCACAGGGGAAGCGATGCATGAGCAGAGTTTAATACATAGAAAGTTTGCTGGGAGCTGAAAGGCAGGGGATGATGTTTGGGGAGCTCCAGATTATTTGTTGCTACCAGAGCTCTGGCTATCTCTTGTCCCTTGTTGGGAGTTATGGGCACATGAATTTAGATTTATTTTTTCCAGCAGGATGTCAATTGAATGGTGCTTTCCCCGAGGCTGTGGTTAATATGATTTAGTGTTTAGGGGCCCGTTGATGGGGCTGCAGCCTGGAGGAGCCAGGTAACACTAGGCTCTCTAGTATTGGCAAAGAAAAGGAAGCATGTGGCATATGGACTGGGGTGATGTGCACCATGTGTTCAGGGCCCAGCGACCACTGCCTGAGTGCGGTGGTTATGCAGGGTGCCCCCAAAGTCATCTGATCTTCAGCATTCTGAACTGAGCAATTGGAGGTTCCAGTCAGGGGCTCAGGATCCTCAGCTGTCAAGAAGCCCACTAGGGCTGGGTGGTCTTAGGTGGCCCCATTGGATGTGGGTGGGCTTGCTGGGGTGGGGCATAGGATGGATTAGTGCTGTAGCTCCTTGCTTTCCTCAGAGACTCTCTGGCGGATGACTTGGAAGATATATTCACGCTGCCTGTGTACTTCTCATCAGACTGGCTGAATGAGTTCTGGGACGTCCTCCATGTGGATGACTACCGCTTTGTCTATGCGGGCCCCCGGGGCACCTGGTAATGGCAGGAGGGACTGGGGCACTTGGGAGGTGTGACCATCTGGGGTATCTGCCTAGAGGCCTATCAGACAAGCCAGGGTCCATGCAGCATTCCACAAGACACAAACCGAAAGCCCTTGCTGTAGGTCTCCCTTCCATGCGGACATCTTCCGCTCCTTCAGCTGGTCAGTGAACATCTGTGGGAGGAAGAAATGGTTGTTCTTCCCGCCAGGGCAGGAGGAAGCCCTTCGGGACTGCCATGGTAACCTGCCCTATGATGTGACTTCCACTGAGCTCCTGGACACCCACCTGTACCCCAGGATCCAGCACAACAGCAGACCGCTTGAAGTCATACAGGAGGCTGGAGAGATGCTGTTTGTGCCCAGTGGGTGGCACCATCAAGTGTACAACCTGGTAAGACAGTGCACGTGACCCTGCTTCTGCCAGGCTCCCTCTCTCTTCATCCCCTCCCTTCCCACTCCAGCTGCCTCTGTAGAAAGAGAGCAGTAATGTTCCCCTAAAAAGGCCGGATATAGGGTAGGAAAGCCACAAATGAGACTACTGAAAACTTATCCCCTTGCCCGTTTCTAACCTGGTTCTTGTCATGAGCTTATGAAGTTCTAGCTCTCATCCCTATTAGCCCATCATAAGATTGGATCCACATTTCCTGGCTACAGGGGCTGCATGTCTGTTTTCTGCCTTTGCCCACTATTCTTGTTTCGTGGTTGTGATAGGATACTCTAATGAAAAGCAGCGTAGAGGAGAAAAGTGTTTATTCCAGGTTACAGTCTGTCGTTGTGGGGAAGTCAAGGCAGGCACTTCATATGACAAGTCACATCCCATCCACAGTCAAGAATAGATAAATGAATGCATACATGTTTACTTTCTTACTGCTTGGCTCAGTTTCTGCTCTTACACAGTTCAGGACCCTCTGCCTAGGGAATAGTGCTACACAGGAAGCTGGGTCTTCTCCCTTCATTTAAGACAGTCTCTGCACAGACATGCCCACAGGCCAATGTCAGCAATCCCTCACTGAGATTATCTTCTCAGGTGAGTCTAGATTGTGTCAAGTTGACTGAACTATTATACCCACCCAGAGCACTGAGCCTGGTGGCCATGGGCTAGGATTTGATTTGCTCAACCAAGGTGAGGCCTGCTATTGCCTCATGGAGCAGCTTGTCTTCTGCCCTCCAGGACGACACCATCTCTATCAACCACAACTGGGTCAACGGCTGCAACCTGGCAAACATGTGGCAGTTCCTTCAGCAAGAACTCCAGGCAGTGCAGCACGAGGTTGGAGAATGGAAGGACTCCATGCCTGACTGGCACCACCACTGCCAGGTGGGAAGCTTCTGTTGATCTAGATCCAGTACAGATGCCCTGGGCTGGGCTTCATGACTCAGACCCTACTGGCAGCTATCCTGGCTCTGTACCTTTGTCTCTGGGTCCCATCTTAGTCCCTGAGCCCTGGGTGTGTGGGAGGGATTTTTGTACACGCTAGCTGTCTGAATCTGGATGTGACCCCAGGGTTTACTTGCCCTTTCCTCTTGGCCCAGGTCATCATGAAGTCCTGCACGGGCATCAATTTTGAAGAATTTTACCATTTCCTCAAGGTCATTGCTGAAAAGAGATTCCTTGTTCTGAGGCAAGGGCTGAAGGGGGATACAGGGGACAGCACGAGCCTAGGACTGGGCCTACAACAGGCTGCCTTTGATGTTGGTCGCCTCGCAGATGTGTTGGCCTCTGTGGTTGCACATCCTGACTTTCAGAGAGTGGACACCAGTGCATTTTCAACACAGCCCGAGGAACTGCTTCAGCAGCTCAAGGATGCTGTGGCTGCTGCAGAAGACCTTTGATATGCTACAGATCAAGATGCAAGATGCAAGAAGAGCTCCAGAGGGCAGCTCTTGCCCCAGGAAGTTCACGCTACCCTCCCTTGAGGCCTAGGATGTGCCTCAAGCCTGTGCAGGTGCAGTTCTTGCAGGGTGGGCAGACACAGTCGTGCTCATCCTGTGCTGTTTCCCAACATCTAGGTCCTGGATCTTGAGGAAGGTCCAGCCAAAACGCGAGTTTAGCTCATGATGATTAAAGGGATGTTACCCCATCTGGCATACAGCAAGCCTGCCAAGAACATGAATTAAGTAGTTGATCATGAAACCAGGTTTCCTTGGAGCCTTCCATCCTCTCCTAGTGGTCCTAGGACTCCTGAGTGATAGACATCTGATCTACCTTTGAGGTGTCCTTTCTTAAGCTGGGACATAGTTGTGTATGTATATATGCAGTCTTCCTCCCAAGCTTCTTTGTCTTCTAGTTCTTTCCTAGGAGCTCCAGACTCCAGCTGGACTAGGAGGAGTGAACCAGGCTATGACAAGTTGTAGGAGAATTCTTAAGCTGGGTATTGTTCACCTGTGGCTGGAGGCATGGTGCTAAGTGGCTCAAAAATGCAGGTACTGGTCCAGGATGGAGATGATGATGCGGGACTAGGGTAAAGTAGTTTTCTTCCCCACAGTACTTCTCCTATGCTAGACCATCTGCTGCCCAAGAGGGCATAGTGCCAGACCCAAAGCAGAAGTATAGGGAGCCTTGTAAAGGAGACAAATATACCCAGCTGGCCCTGGATAAGTCAGTGCCTCCTGCACTCACTGCCCATGCATGTTCTCTCTGTCTGAGAAGGAGACAAGACATTGCGTAGTGGCCTGCATGAGTCCACATAACGCCCTATCCTTCTGGAGCCTGCATGTCACCATGTTCTCTGGGCTGTTTCTAGGAGTAGGGTTGCAGCTGCGGGCAGAGAGGTGCAGCCTGTGTGAGCGCCAGCTGCTTACTCTTGGCCTCAGCATAGACCACCATCATGAGGCACAGCTGTAAACAGTGCTGGACTTGTAGACACCTTTGCAGACAGAAGCATTGCCTAAACCTGCAGCCTTCATGGTCTGAGGTGAGGCCTCATAGGGAGAAGAAAGTTATACGCAGAATTGGCCACAGCCTTTGTAGGGTTTTTATGCAGGACCTGGTGCCAGTGACATCCCTGTGATCCCTAAGAAGACCCTCTGGGTGAGGCCTGGGGGTGCTTTCAGAGGAGCCACTTGAAGCTTAGAGTGCTGACACTTTCCAGGGCACAGCTGGTGGTGCCTACAGGGTGGCACTGAGGCTGAGTTACACCGCGCTGCAGGTCTGACACAGGCTAGGTAAGGGTAAGAACTTGGGTTGGGGCAGGGGCATTTATTTTATGCCATGCCTGCCACAAGGAGTAGGTCTCCTTGGTTGAGACTACGGGGAGAATCAATGGAAAGAAAATTATTTATTACTACCTTCAGGCCCTTTGCCAGCTAAGTAAGGATAGCACCTCCTGTTTCAGAGCTATGTCAGCATTATCCCAGGGATAGTTATCCTTAAATATGGCCAGGCAGAATAAGCGTGCCCAGGCTAGGGCTGTGAGCTCCTGACCAGGGTTGTAGTATCTGGTGCCCTGGTTCCTTTCCTACGTGGAGACACTTCACTCAATTGACCCAGCAATTTAATTTACCTCCTTTACTCCAGACTGGCAAAATTAAGAAAGAACACCCTGGGCAGTGTGTGACACACATTAGCTACTATGTTCCCACGACTGTCATAATTGGAAATGATAATGTAGTCCCCAGTCAGATTAACAAGCCAGGAGGGGTCCCATGTTAAAACAGCTCTGCAGATTAAGGTGCTTGCTGTGCAAATCCATCGACAAGTTTGAACCCTGGATTCCGTTTCAAAGTGGAGGAGCCCCTTCATGCTGCGTTGGTACTTCACAGACTACCAAAACCCTAGCATGTACCAAGGCCGCCACAGTTTGAGCCTTCTGTAAGGGCCTCTGCCCAGCAGCTGGTTGTCCAGCCTTGGGCTGATGCCACTCTTGTTGCTGGCTTTTGTAGCCAAAAATTAGTATTTCTCAGTATCTTTTATCATCTCCTTAAAAATAACTTCCAGCTGTTGGATACAGTCTGAGTTTACCGACATATATGTTCCTATCATGACACTGCTATTCGCAAAAAGTAATGTCTTTTGAAAAATGATGTGGATTAACAGTTAAAATATCCTCCTAGAACCGAGTTATCCCATTCTTGCAAAGAATTAATGAAAGAAAACATCCTAATCAGAGTCTAAGAAGGGTCTCAAATCTATGTGTTCAAGGAATCCTCTTGCCTCATTCTCCTGCATGGTAGGATGATATACACAGGCCACTATGCTTGGCTAAGCCTGCAATTAAATAACATTTTAGAACTCAAGTGTAGATAAACATGCAAATCGTGTGAGGGTAAAATCAAGAGGGACATTTTTAAATATACCTGAGAGGGGACTGGAGAGATGGCTCAGAGGTTAAGAGCCCTGACTACTCTTCCAGAGGTTCTTCGTTCAATTCCCAGCAAACACATGGTAGCTCATAACTATCTATAATGAGATCCGGTGCCCTCTTCTTGCGTGCAGGCATACATGTAAATAGAACACTGTATGCACAGTAGATAAATAAATCTTTAAAACAATTCAACTGAAATTACTGAAAATGAAGAGACAATATACAACCTTTGTAAGACAGCTAAGGCAGTACCTAGAGGAAAAATGTTAAACTGGCAGTACTTATGAACAAAGATCTTGAATCAGTAATCCAAGAAATAAAGTCAACACAATAAGAGGGAAATAACCAGCAGAAATCTTTGAGATAAAAGAAAACAGAAAATAGCAATGAAACCAAAAATTACTTTATAAAAGACCAATAAGCTGTCATGGCACACACTTTAATCCAGCACTTGGGAAGATTCGGAGTACCAGAGCAACCTAGGCCCTGTAAAGCCTATCTAAAGAAAAATGTGTTTACTTAGTTTAGTGAGAGTTCCATGGGTTTAGCATCTCTGGGTCACTTGGCTCTTTCCCTTCCTTCTCCAGTTGAAAATGTTTTTGTCTCTTAATAGCCAGCATTCCCTTAGAGCCGTAGTTATCCTCAACACACTCAAGCCACAGCACAGTCTTTATGGTTTTAGCCTTAATAAATTTCTGCCTTATTTAGCAGAAAATAGGCTTGGTCTGCCCATCTTAGCCATGCCTGTCTTAATGCTGCTTTCCTAAGGTCAACAAATTTGAAAACCCATAGTTAGGCTGACTGAGATTAAAAAAGAAAAGAAACCATATCAGAAATTAATAAGGACATTACTATCGATTAAAAAAAAAGTCACATGAGCAATATTAACCAATACTGTAGGTAATTTTCATGAAATCAACAAACTTCTAGAATCATACCTACTATCAAAGCTTACTCGAGAAAGATAGTGTAAGATTACCCACAAGGGAGACTGTTACACAAAAATTGTACACACACAGAAAAGCTCAGATTTAGAAATTACTGGTAATTTATGTAAGACTTCTGTAGATGCCAGTAATTTATACCAAACTTTCAGAGATGTATTATGAAATCTTGAACTCTTCAAGAAACCAGTGCTAAAGTCACTGCCCAAATTATTTTACCAGTTACTGAGATTGTAGAGCCAAGCAAATACTTTATTAGAAAACATACTCCATGGTCATAGTAGGGTTATTTCAGGAATGCAAAGCTAGTTAATAGCTGTCAACCTAAATAACAGATATTCTCCAAAGAATAAAGATTACTTGGGACTACCAAAGAGTTTCAAGAGGAACGTTCATGCCGTGTACACTAAGCATGAATGTGAGACATTTTTAAAGGCAAAAGGATGAGAATTATATATGACATTTTAAAAAATAATTCATGGCTACAAGGATTAATAGGACTGGTGTGAGTCGAAGATTAAAAAGTAGCATCTGAACTTTATGTAAGGCTGCTGTGGCTTCTGCAAGGCTGTGGTCCTGGCAGCCTTTCATGAGTAGCTCGTTATCAAGTATACTCTCCCAGGTTTGTGTATTTCCACTAACGTATTTGAAGACAGTCTTGGTGTACAGTTACAATAAAACCATCATGACATTCGCCACACTGGAACATGGTATTCTGAGTCCATTTGTTCAGGCCGTAGTCACTCATCTGGCTGCAAAGTGAATGATATCTTACTTCCTTTGAAATGTGAGCTGTGATTGTGCATCACCAACTCCCAGTCCTTTTGCATGAGTTGTCACAAGTCAGCGTCGGGATAGGGGTCTTTTTACTTGGGGCCCTTCTGTTGGGCTATTTTGTCTTGACATGCAGGTGATGGTCTTAGCTGTGTCAAGGATTGTATAGACCGCAGTTTACCCTCCAAGCTGGATTAGCTGAAGAATTTCAGGAAAGTTGTTAATTTTTAGTTTGCTCAGGATTTCTGGCAGGACAGGAGTGACAGTTTCCAACCTGAAAAAGCAAAATAAATAAACGAGACAGATTTATATTTGAGAAAAAGGAAAAGGCAAAGTGTAAATCTCAGCAGCTGCCAGAAGTGAGATAGACAAGAGAGGGAGAGAGTCATGCCATGGCAGGGAAGGTATATACACAACAGAGTACTGTTCAATGTACAGAAGACTAAAATCCTCTCATTTGGGGGAAAAATGTAACCAGAGGACAGTTAAGTGAAAAGAGAAAAGCCATCCACAAAACCAAATAGTATCCCATGCTTTTTCTCATATATGGCTAGTAGGACAAAAAGATGGCCTTAGGGACTGGAACATGTGTCCGGAGAGAGAGGTTAGAACTGTGAGATGAAGAAATCAATTCATGATGTGTGGGTGGAAATGTCACTGTAAGATCCACTTGTATTATTGACACTGTTGGCATAATGTTCTTGTGAACAATGTGTTTTGCCTTTGTTCATTTATATGCTGATTTCTCTACCCCACTATCTGGTTTCAATCCAGACATTGCAATGTGATGTTTATTCTAAGCACCTCCTGCCTCAAGGTTGTGTAGACATGCTATCATTTGTCTCTGTATTGCCAGTAAAAGCCAACTAGCCAATGCTGAGCAATGCAGAGACTAGGGTGGGACATCCTGGTCCAGTGAGGGGAGGAGAAAGGATAGGAGTACAGGATGGATCTGAGGAGAGGACTAGGAAACACCAAGAGAAATGAACCTAGAATATGATTAAAAAGCAAGTATAATATGGGAAATCTGAGTGGGAGGAAGCTAAACTAGCTTGGAGGTTTAGGATGGCGTAATTATTGGACAGCATTGTGCTCTAGGCTACTTAAATAAATCCTAGTCTCTAGTTATTTGGGTATATAGCTGGTTAGGGAGTAACTGCTACTTTACTAAAATACAAATCAACATTAAATATTAATAATCTTTCAACATAACACATCAATGATTATAGTGTTTAAAAAAAAAAAAAGCCAGATTTTAAAAACAGTTGGAAGGGGCTGGAAAGATGGGTCAGTGATTAAGAGCACTTTCTGTGCTTTTAGAGGGACCAAGTTTGATTCCTAGCGCTCACATGGTGGCTCCCAACTGCCTGTAGTTCCAGTTCTAGAGGAACTTAGCCCTCTGGCCTCCTAAGGTACTCAGGTTCACATACCCCAGTAGTGCTAGTTTTTTAAAACTATTTTATTTGGAGTTCCTTAAGCCTCTACCACCCTTCCAACCCATCAACCCTAGGGAGGAGAGAGAGAAGGTAGAAGGGAAAGGGGATGTAGATCTCTTTAGACTTGGACTTGTCTGAGAGCAGAGACATCTTTTGGATACCCTATGAAAACTGGGATATTGGTCAAGTCCTGAGAAAGCTTTTCTCTAATTTCTGTGGTATTGATCATCTGGGCTAGCTTTTTTGAAGTTGACCTGGATGCAAATTCTTAAGGCAACAGTAACTGAGGCAGTCTGTGAAGCTGAATCATCTAGGCTACCTGCTTTGTTTTATATCTGGTCTTTTGCTCTGAAAATAAAGTTTTAAAGTTAGTGTTATAGGTACATTTCTACATTAACATATGCATGGAATATGCAAGGTGCACAAATAAGCTACTGCACTTAAATCTGTTATCTTTAATTTTCCTGATTTCCTTTTTACAACGAACACAGGGGGATTACACGGAATGGTAGACTCTTTTATATGTTGAGCCTCCAGCTGCTCTTGTACCAGTTGTTCAAGTGCCTGCAATTTTTCCTGTTACGGGCCATGGCTCTTGTCACACAGGTCTGTTTGATATCCATCTTAGGGGTGGCCCCCCTTCTCCCCTTATGAATTTGGAAATTCAGTCTCTATGAAGTCCTGTGTTTGGACAGTGGGCACAGCTTGGGTTTGTTTTTGACTACATGGATCAATACCTTCCCCAGGAGCACCTAGCCTATCATCCCTAATTTCATCATTGGCTGTCTCTGGGATTGTAGCAATGTTAATTTGAGTATCCCGTTGTTGTAAAAGTTCCCTTCCCCATAAATTTATCAGTATGTCAGCCACATAGGGTCTCAACTTCCCTGTTTGATCTTCTGGTCCCACACATTTAATCCATCATACACTTTGTCTTACTTGAGATAATTTACCAGTTTCTATAAATTGTGTATAAACCTTCTGAAGTGGCTGTTCTGGATTCTAAGACTTTTAGGAAAAGATGCTGATACAGCTCCTGTATCTACCAAACCTATTTCAACACCATTTATTTGTAATAATAATTCGGGTCTCTGATTGTTAACCACTGTTTGGCAGAACACACATTTTCCAGTACTCCCCTATTGGAGCAGCTTTGCCCTTAATCTAGGGAAACAGTAACAGCTGAGCAATTCTGATCTCTGCATTAATTTGCATATCCCTTTTTACATATGCGATGATTTTAATTTCTTCCTTGCAATCCCCATCTATAATACCTGGATGCCCAATAAATCTTTGAGAAATGAATCCACTTCTTCCCGAGATCACCTACTGCTCCTGAAGACAAAGGACCAGAAACAGCAGTGGTTATTTTGTAACATTCAACTCTGGGGGCTAGGGTGGGAGGTTTGCCTGTGGCCAGATCCGCAGCTGCATTGCCTTCAGTAGTGTGCAACAGATCAGCAATCTTGGTTTTGGTTTCCCTGCCTCCTTGTTACCTCCTGGCTGTCCAAAGGAAAATGGTTCGGATGTTGTGCTGCAGGCGTGGAGCTGAAAGGCCCCTCAGTTCGTTTACCAATGACAAGAGGTTACTTTGTGTGTCCCTCTTGGACCTGCAGTCCCTAGTCAAGTGACCCCTTTTACCACAGCATCTACAAACTCTGGGAAACCTGGATGTGGCCAGAAATTGCTTGTTCAGGCTCCAAGTGAATGTACCATATTCCTCAGAGTTAAGGCATCTGCCATTTTGAGCACTGACACTTTTTAACCTTGCAATTTCTTTGTAAATGGCCAAATATGCCAAAATTAAAGTACCAGGTATTTTGATGTCTGAGGCCTCTAACTATGGCTTGTCCTATGATATTGGCATGATATTCCTGAGAGCCTATATCAGCTTTGTCTCTTATCCATTCACCTATTGGTACTGTGTGTGCCTTTAATGATGTAATTACTCTCTTAGATTCAGTATTTGCATTCTCAAACCCCAGGGTCTCTATCAATACCTATCTGGCATGAGGGTTGGATACAGCTTTGTTTACAGCTGAAGCCAATCTCTGTAAGAAGCCCAAGAGGCTTCTACAGAGCCTTGTATTATCTTATTAAATGAAGTAGATCTTTTTCCTGGCTCCCCAACCATATCCCAAAGCTCTTAAAGCTGCAACACTTGTTCTGTAACTACATCATCAGATCAGATTTGTTCTTGTCTGTCGGCATTAGGGCACTTCACTAAACCATTGATCTTTAACAA